TCTATCCGCCTCCCCCTCTCTCCCTATTTATTTCAGAACCCCCTTCCCCTCCCCCATTTCTGATGAAGGGTCGAGGCCCGAAACATCAGCTTTCCTGCTCCAATGATGCTGCTTGGCCTGCTGTGTTCATCCAGCTCTACACCTTGTTATCTCAGATTTTCCAGCATCTGCAGTTCCTACTATCTCTGATACAATTGGAAGCCAAGTGTTTCTCCCTCCCCCCACAAGCTTTGAACCCTGTTGCATTGTTGCTGGTTTTCTAACAGCAATGTCTTGAGGGTCAGCACGAAGAACCTGGCAACAATGATCCTGTTGGTGCAGCTAGCCAAGGTAGCTGTGGTTCAGCACAGGATAAGAGAGGGATGTTGAGAGTAAGGATGAGATAATTGAACCTCTTCCAGCGATGTCTGTGTCAAACATTGACACTCCAGTGGTAGAACCCATTTCGGAAAGACTCAGTTTAACCCCCAGGTCTCTGACCCAAGCCTCATATCACAAAGGACGAACTTGGGTGATGAGAACAGATCAGCATTAGTACAAAAACTAGGCTTTTTTGAAACTGGCATTGAAACTTATAGCCATCAAAAGCGTTGGGAAGAATTTATTTTAAAATATCTTGCAGTCAAGAGCTGCTTATGGTTGTCGTGTACTAGGTCATGTAGCCTTAGGATTTTTTTCCTGACTTTAATGTAAAATACATTTGGTAATTTTAAAAGGAGGAAGGAAGAGAAAAGCAAGCTAATTGGAGATGTTCTGTTATGCTGTTTTGACAGTAATAGAAACAAGCTGTTTTGATTTTAAAATTGTGCAGGAAATTGCTCGGTAATGACAGATAACTCAGTGGAAAAGCTGTTTTCGCCTGCTTACGTTGCATGATGGTTAAGTGTGGCCTTAAGAGGTTAACTATTTTAAGTGTTTGCTGACTTAAATAGTCTTTTACCCAAAGTTTCTGTGTGTTTTACTAGGGAAATGTTTAAAAGCTGCATTTTGCTTTTGGGACTAGACCTTTTAATGTTCTCTTTTTATGCAGTGTGATTTTTCTTAAATTCTGCTGCTTTATCCACGTCCTACTGGACAATCGCAGTTATATTAACAAAGAAGTGGCTTGTTTTGACTCTTGAGGTCACAACTTCGGGTTGAATACAAGACAGCTGATTTGTCTCTTGAAACTACTGAATTTCACTCTGTATGCTATAATAAATTCAAGATATCTCGTTCAGCGGAATTTAGATTGGTATTGGAAACCAGTTGTTCTGTAAATTTCAGTCATTTCCACTCAGTTTAAATTACATTTAACATTAATCAAACTGACCTTTTTAAGCGTCCTCTGAAGGCATTTCCTGTTTGCTTTGCCATGATAAGATTGTAAGTGATGATGGCTTACATTCAGTCGAGTTTGGCAAAGTTGCATGAATGACAGTTTCTGTAAACCTTGTATTAAACGGGAAATAGAAGTGAAACAGTCAATCAGCCTGAAATCTTAACAAGCTCTTAATGCAGAGTGTTTTGAAACTAAGTGAGTGATTTGTGATACTTGGTCTCTGTACAATGCCATAAGTTGTCTACATAATAATGCTGGGTGGAAGTCTTTTTTTTGCTGATTGTTGATACTTTGTATCATGGGTTGGTGATGGAGTGATACGTGCCCAGACCAAAATACTCATTGTTCTGACATACAAATGAAGGTTAATTAATACATGGAAACTCCTATTCAAGTGCAATTATATGACTATAAAGTTAATGCAAACATCTGTGCAATACTTTTTGATAATTTGTTAAAACAGAATGGATATCCAAAGAGATTTGGAGGTTTCAGGTGGATAGATCTTTAAAATGTTACGAATGGGTGCAGAAAATAAGCAATAAAGCAATTGGAATGCTGGCCTTCCTATCTAAAGGATTGAAGTACAAGGGGGTAGAAGTTACACTGCAGTTACACAAAACTCTGGAGAGACCCCACTTAGTGTACAGTGAGCAGATCTGGGCCCATGCCTTGGGGAGGATATAATGGCCTCTGAGGGAGTTTAATATAGGTTTACAAGAATAATATCTGGACTTCAAGGGTTAAGTAATAAGGAGAGATTATACAAAATAAGCCTGTTTTCTCTCGAATTTCGAAAGTTAAGGGGTGATCTGATTAAAATTTTCAAGGTATTAACAGGAAAAAGATAAACTAGTTCCACTGGTTGGGGATTCTAGAACTAAAGGGTGTAGTCTAAAACTTATGGCCTGGAGAGACGTTAGGGAGCACTTTGAGACACAGGGTAGTAGAGATTTGGTACTGTCTTCCACAGACATCAGATGCTGCATCAGTTCTTCATTTTAAATTTGAGATAAATAAATTTTTGTTGAGCAGAGATAGTAAGGGGTATGGGCCAAAGGCAGCCATGATCTTGCTGAATGGTGGAACAGGCATGTTGCAGCTGTACAAAACTCTGGTGCGGCCGCACTTGGAGTATTGCGTACAGTTCTGGTCGCCACATTATAGGAAGGATGTGGAAGCATTGGAAAGGGTGCAGAGGAGATTTACCAGGATGTTGCCTGGTATGGAGGGAAGGTCCTATGAGGAAAGGCTGAGGGACTTGAGGCTGTTTTCGTTTGAGAGAAGAAGGTTGAGAGGTGACTCAGTAGAGACATACAAGATGATCAGAGGATTAGATAGGGTGGACAGTGGGAGCCTTTTTCCTTGGATGGTGATGGCTAGCATGAGGGGACATAGCTTTAAATGGAGGGGTGATAGATATAGGACAGATGTCAGAGGTCGGTTCTTTACTCAGAGATAGTAAGGGCGTGGAATGCCCTGCCTGCGAAAGTAGTAGACTCGCCAATTTTAAGTGCATTTAAATGGTCATTGGATAAACATATGGATGATAATGGAATAATGTAGGTTAGATAGGCTTCAGATTGGTTTCACAGGTCGGCGCAACATCGAGGGCCGAAGGGCCTGTACTGCGCCGTAATGTTCTATGTTCAGGCACGAGGAGCTAAATGACCTCCTGTTGTTATGTTCCCACGTAACTAAGTTCCAGTAGTACACATTAAGCTAACTTCAGGAATGCACAAATTCATGGACATATTGGTCAATGTGTGTGAAAATATTTTTTAATGTATTGTTTCTCCTGAGCAAAATTAGAATAGATGTACAGTCATGTGCTCATGTTACTGCAGTAATAAGCCAGATGGTGAGCATTTGACTATTTGAATTAAATTTAAAATAAACTAAAATCAGGACCACAGAGTGAATGTGAAGCTGTCACATTATCATTAAAGCACAGATATCCCACATTATTAGGGTAACTGAAGATGGTCGATATAATGCTGGCCTCGCCAAAGATCCAACATCCTAAGAATCCGTTTGGTCTTCGATATCTGTGAGATTCCATAATTTACTTAAGCACTTTGAACTAAAGTAAGTGTTTTGGGTTATTAATACTTCCTATTTAATTTATTTTGTTGCAAACCTAATAAATCAAGCTGCTGTCTGAAAGTGCAATGTTAAAGGCTTTGGAAGATTTTAAATGGTGCCCATGGTGTAAGCTGCCTATGTGAACCTAGGTAAGTGCATTAATCATCTGTGATTTACAGTCTAACTCAGAAACAGAAATTGCAAAATGTAATTTAGCTCTGAGACTGGAATTAATGTTTTCTAATGTGAGTAGAAGCCTGCATAAGATTTGCCAGTCCCACGACTGGAGGTTTTGATAAACGTAATAGGCACTTACGAATGATGGACTCTGACGAATAGCAGGAAGGGAAACTGAAGTAAGGTTTCCCTCAGAAGAATACACCAGCATTTAATGTGATATGTATGTGCACTTTTATTCCTGGGAGCACACTGTCGGGCTGTAATGAGAACCTAGCTTCACAGGTGTAGGTGTTGCCTTTCAGCAGTATTTGGAAATATTGAAATAAACAATAAATTTATGCCCTGATGAGCTGAGTATCCATTTGCAAGTAGGAGTTCCTTCTGTAGTGTTGCTCCCAACAAAAGTCCCTTTTAAATAGCTTCTTCAAAGGTATTTTTTAAAAAAGAAAATTAACTCTGGTGTACTCTGAGATTGTTCCAGAAACAAATTGTGCGTGTGTTTAGTGAAGCCTTTTGGTATTCTGTATTTCTCCCTTTCAAATCAACACTGCACAAATTGAATGTGTCGTGAAGTTGGGTAGAGTATTTGTGGATTGGAAGGCATGATGTCAGAACTTGATGTTTGTAAAATGATTGGGGGGGGGCGGTGGTGGGAAGAGCACATGGTCCTTTTAAATGATAATGTGTTTTGGGTAAAAAAGAAGTTCAGGTGCACAGAGAGC